CCCGACTCAGAGATTTGGGATAATTTCCTGACAACAAATTGCTGTATAGGCATGTCAATAATCTGCATAAATTGCAGCATGGAATCACTCCACTTTTCACGACAGGCGGTAGAGCACAAAGCCCCAAGAAGCAGCGAATGCTCTGCAGCTACAATTGGCCACAATTTTTAAACTCTCAGATTCTAGCTGTCCCACAATATCATGCAGATAATGACTCCATTGTTACACATGTAATTTTCAACCAATCAATTGTGCTAAGGAATTCGCTCTCACTGCGGGAGCAGACAACATCCGCCCGAAGGCATTGAAGGCTGTGGCCAACAAGCTAGCTGAACCACTGTCACAGTTATTCCAAACGTGCTTTAATGGAAATCAAGTCCCCACTATGTGGAAGCGTGGCATTGCCATCCCCATTTTTCAAGGCGGTGGCCGTTCAGAGCTTCAAACTATCGCCCAGTGACTCTCCTCCCTGTGCTCGCGAAATTGATGGATGCGGTCATCGCTGAGGCTCCAATGGACTACCTGGAAAAATGCGACATCTTGGCACCGGAGCAGCATGGATTCCGTCAACACCGGTCACCAATCTACTGATTGCACTAGGTAGTTGGACGGAAGTGGCTGATGATAGGGTCGGAGTTGACGTCATCCATCTGGACTTCTCCAAAGTTTTCGACCGCCTGGATCACCGCATTCTACTTCACCGGCTACAGAGATACGGAACCGGTGGTCCTGTAGTTGGTTGGTTTGGCGACTTTCTTCACCAACGGAAGATTCAAGTACGCGTTAGGGGATCATTCTCTAACCCGATTGAGATGGAATGCGGTGTTCCACAAGCTCATTGCTGGGACCGCGCTTATTCCTGGTGTTTCTCAACGACGCGGCAAGAGTTATCTCCTCAAATTTCCTGCTTTTCGCCAATGACGTCAAACTATGGCGGGCGATTAGAAACATTGCAGATCACGATCTACTCCAACGTGACCTAGATTGCATTAATGAATGGTCAGAGAGGAACCTGCTTCAGTTGAACATGGCTAAGTGCAACGTGACACATCTGCGTCACCAGCCAGTGAGCGCTTACAAGATTGGAGAGCACACTTTAAAGAAGGCCTCTTACGATCGTGACCTGTGTTTACTGGTACAGGAAGATGTGGAGTGCTCAAAACAAGCAGAGCACGCGACGAGAACCGGCAATCAACAATTCGGCCTGCTTCACAGAGCCTGCGGTCGGTTTGAACCCTCAAGCTTTCCCCCAAATGTTTAACGCCTACGTGCGACCGCACGTGCATTGTACTATTCAGGTGTAGCAGCCGTGGTACAAACAGGATGTTGTCACTCTCGCGAATCCTTAACCTAGTGCAACCAAGAACGTCAGGAGCCTCTTTCATCTGTCCTATCATCTTAGACTGAAATCTCTAAGTATGTACAGTAGTCGATATGCGCCATTGCGGGGAGATCTCATAATGGTTTACCAGATTCTGACGAATCCAAACCACATTTGCCGATCAGTGCTGGTATTGAACCATAACATGAACCTAAGAGATCATCCTCTGAAACTGACAATTCGGTATAGCCGGATTGAATGCCCTAGGATTTTCCATTCGCTCTGCGTCTGTCAGCCTTGGAACGCCCTAGCTAATTATCTTGTCTCTACTAACAATCTGGCGATAGTTAACAAACTATTTGACGACGCGTTGCCCATTTGTATTTCATTGTATAAATTATTAGCCAGTGGCTACAAAACGCAATCAAACGGTGTCTTAGCATACTCCCGACCAGTGGATTTATGTATGTATATTTTAATACGCAAACATCCCCGCTATTCTACATAAGTCTATGCTGAGTCCACCAAATCGCTATCACTTTAGAATGCAATTTGCTTTTCGCAATAATTCTTATCCCACGGGACCTGTGAAGCATTGTATTTTTACCCGTAATTCATCATGGATATAATTCCATGATGTAATCCAATTGGTCCAGCAGTATCCAGGAACTGTAAGCTAGCGGAAAGCAAACGATGTAACGGCAAATTCGTGTTCGATGCTCTCTTTCCATTGAACTAGAGGTAGTTTCATCGATTGCACAATCGCAGCTTGAGATCACAATCTATGGGATTAGATGCAAAGTGAGGAGTTGATTTCAGTAAGAGAATGTATATGACACGTTTCAAGTCACAGGTGTAATAAGACAAGATTCTGTTGTGAAAAATTCCCAAAGAACCAAGATTTATTTAGCAAAATACAAATAGGTGAACACATTAAACCACTGCAAACGGTGAAATCACGGTGGGCACATCTGGTCTCGGCAGTTCTCGTGAGGGTCTATGAAGCACAACCTTCTTCATGCAAGAAAATCATCTGTGGATCCAACGAGTTAGTACCACGCAAGATATCCCGCTTGAATTGTACCTCCCTCGGCTTCTCACGAGAGCAATCCTTACCATACTCCTTCAGCAGTTGTTCCACCAATTCGGGTACTTTTTGCGTGAGCTCGTCGTCAGGGAAGAAACATGGAAATTGAGCACAAAACTGCGCTGTTTCGTTGGTGATGGGGAGCTTCCACAAACGATTGAATGGAACCAGATCGTATCCAGACTCGTTGCAGATTTGCTTCATCCAAAAGTTTACCTTCCTCTCCTCAGTGTTGAAGGCCTCGTTCGAGTGGACTGCGCTGCTGATCACATTACCAACGAGAGCCGCGGTGAAGTATCTGTGGAAGTAATTGTAGTAACTCACTTGCACACCTCTGTACTCGGTGCCACGCCAAGTGGCTAACAGATCATTCTCATCCCCTTCAGTCCAGCCTGGTTGGAATCCCTTGGCGTAGGAATCAAGCCCAACCAGATACTTGTACATCACTGGGATGTACATGTTATTAGTCACTTCACCACCATGCATAAATGTGATCCGATCGACTTGCAGATTGTGACCAACTTCGTGTGGGATCCCAATTTGTTTCCCTTGTTGTATGCCTTGCTTCGATACAAGAGCGTTTCCCCAATACTTGTGACCCATCCACGGGTAGCCCGAATGACCATCACCAGCCGAGATTTGTTCATCGGTCACAAATACCTGCAGCCGATCGGTTGCATAGTCTGTACCACGGTAATTGTGCATTAGCTTGACCATATTGTCATAGTGGTTGATGCAGTATATCATATCCTCCTTGCTGGTCCTCGTTGCCATTGATGTTTCGATCATGCTGATCATGTTATTACCGACTATCATCACAAAGGGAACGCCATGATATTTACGACGCTCAACATCCCAGTTGTTCCTTGACTCCGGATTCCGAATATCAAACCACGGGTAGCGGTAAACGTTCTTGAAGTGGATGGTAATGTTCGCGGGCCCAGGAATCTCGACCACTATCGGACCTCCAAATGGTGAAGCGAACTCACCCTCCATTTCCAAATCTGCAGATGAGGTGACAGCAAACCAGCGTCTGAGTACCGAGTGTCTCACAGTGTCCGTTTGGGGGTTAACGCGGATACGGAAACCGTTGAGACTACCAGTGGACACATTGAGCACCTTGTACTGGAACCCGTATCCGGGCTTTGCCGTAG